AATCTTACTTGTTTTTGTCACTGATAAAGGGAGGTTTTATTTGTTTGTTTGTTTGTTTGTTTTCCTGTTTTGCATTAGTCACAAAGCAAGAAAACCCAATCGGAAACAAAGCCAAGCAGGTTTTTTTGTTTTTTGTTTTTTTGTTTTTTGTTTTTCCTGGCTGGGCATGGAGAAGGAAAGAGTTCTTGCTCTAAAGGCACCTTCTCCCTGAAAAATAGAAGGCATGGAGTTTTTAAGAACCAGATACAGAGAGGGAGCGCAATGTTAGCACGTGCAGGGTGGGATTCTAGGTGCACTGGTTCACTGCATAAACACATCTCTACACAACCTATGACACGAAATGGCAAGATTTTCTTTGTGGGAGGAAATTTTAGTATTACAATACTAGATCTGAGAATTATTCCTGTATCTGTTGTTATTTAAAAGATATTTGCTGAATTGCCAAATATTAAGGTTTTTCTGAATATATTTTTGTTATTGATTTTTTATTTAGTCCTATTTTGCTCAGAGTACAAACTGTCTACATTTTAAATCTTTTTATATGTATTGAGAGTTATTTTCTGGTCCAGTATTTGATCTATCTTGATTAATGTTCCACAGACACTTGAAAAGTAGATGTGATTATCGTCACCTTGACTCTGTTGATGTCTGTCTCACACATTTTGAAGTTTCATTAGGTTCACCCATTTAAGATTGTTAATTTTATCAACTGGTCTATTTTGACTTGACACCTTTATCTTTGGTATTACTCCTATTTTGAAGACCACTTTATCTAATATTCATATGGACACACCAATTCATTTAAGATTTGCACAGCACATTTACACCCACACTTTTGCCTTAATGTTGTGTCTGTATCTAAAATGTGGTTCTTGTGAACAGCATAGTGTTGGATCTTGTTTATCGATTTATTGTTTAATCTCATCTGAAAATCTGAACTTGCAAATTGAGATACCTAGGCTGGGCTTGGTGGCTCATGCCTGTAATCCCAGCACTTTGGGAGGCCGAGGCGGGTGGATCACCAGGTCAAGAGATCGAATCCATTCTGGCCAACATGGTGAAACCCTGTGTCTACTAAAAATACAAAAATTAGCTGGGTGTGGTGGCATGCATCCATAGTCCCAGCTACTCAGGAGGCTGAGGCAGGAGAATCTTTTGAATCTGAGAGGCGGAGGTTGCAGTGAGTTGAGATCACGCCATTGTACTCCAGCCTGGAAACAGAGAACACAGAATGTCTTTCCAGTTTTTTAAACTTTCTTTAGTTTCTTTCAGTAAAGTTTTGTGTATGCCACGATGGTTAGATTTACACCTAAATGTCTTTCTTTGATGCTATTATAAATGGCATTTAAGAAATGTTTTGATAGTTCATTGCAACTATGAAGAAATACAATGAATTTGCATATGTTTGTCTTGCATCCTGCCTCTTTTATTAGTTCTAATGGGTTTTGTGTCCTCTCTGGAGCTTTATACACATAAGATCATGTGTAGATATAACTTTACTTCTATTTTTCATTTCTAATTTAGAGGCCATGTATTTCTTTGTCTTGCCTAATTGCTCTGGCTAGAACTGCCAGTGCTATGTAGAAGTGGCAAACGCACCATCCTTGTCTTGTTCTAGATGTTAGGAAAACAGCTTGCAGTGTTTCATCATCAAACACACTATTAACTGTCGGTATTGTATAGATCCCATTGTCATGTTGCAGAAGCTCCCTTCTATGCCTAGTTTATTGAGTTTATTTTTATCACAAAAGGGCTGTATTTCATCGATGCTTTTCCTGCATCAATGGAGATAATCATGTGCTTATTCATTTTACTGTTACAGTATATTACACGGATTGGTTTATAATATATTGAGCCACCTTGCACTTTGAGGCTAAATCTCACATGGCGATAGTTTACAATCCTTTGATTATACAGTATTGCTGCTAGTATTTTGCTAGTGTTGCTAGTATTTTGCTGAGATCTTTGTTTATGTATTCAAAAGGGATATGGTGCTGTAGTTCTCTTTTTTGTGCCTTTTTTGGCTTTGGTATCACGATAATGCTGTTATCAAAAAATGAATTAGCAAGTATTCCTTCTTCATACATTTTGTTGGAAGAGTTTGAGAAGAAACGGTATTAATTATTTTTTATTAATTATTATTATTATTTTGAGACGGAGTTTCGCTCTTGTTACCCAGGTTGGAGTGCAATGGCGCGATCTCGGCTCACTGCAACCTCTGCCTCCTGGAATCAGGCAATTCTCCAGCCTCAGCCTCCCGAGTAGCTGGGACTACAGGCACGCGCCACCATGCCCAGCTAATTTTTTGTATTTTTAGTAGAGATGGGGTTTCACCATGTTGGCCAGGATGGTCTCGATCTCTTGACCTTGTGATCCACCCGTCTCGGCCTCCCAAAGTGCTGGGATTAAAGGCGTGAGCCACCGCGCCCGGCATTTATTCTTTAAATGTTAGGTAGACTCACCAGTTAATGCAGCTATTTGGTCATAAATCTTTCCTTGCTCAGCCACTCAATCTCCTTGTCTGTTATAGGTCTATTCAGATTTTCTCTTTCTTCTTGAGCCATTTGGGTAGTTTGCATCTTTCTAGCAATTCGTCCATTTCATCCATGGCACGTAATTTGTTGTTATACAGTTGTTCACAGTATATTCCTATAATCTGTTTTTATTTCTGTACAGGTGGTAGTAATGGCTCCATTTTTATTTATTATTTTAATAATGAGTCTTCCATCTTTTGCTAAGTTAATATGGTGAAAAGTTCAATCTTTCGAAGAATCAACTTTCAGCTATGTTTATTTCTTCTGCTGCTTTTCAACCTTCTATTTTATTGATTTATGCTCTAATCTTCATCATTTCTTTCCTTTTGCTAACTTTGGATTTAATCCTTTTTTTTTTTTTTTTTGCTTTTGATTTTTCTACTGCCTTTAGATATAGGTGAGGTTATTGATTGGAGACTTTTTCTTAAATGTAGTTGTTTATATCCATATCTTTTTCTTTGAACTCTACTTTCACTGCATTCAATAAGTTTTGGTATGTTTTGTTTTTAATTTGTCTCAAAAGGTATTTTGTAATTTTGCTCATGATTTAGTCTTTCACTCACTAAGAGTATATAAATTTCCTCATATTTGTGAATTTTCCAGTTTTCATATTTTTATTTATCTGTTGTTTCTTCCATTGTGATTGTAAATTCTATTTTGTATGATTTCCAACTTTCAAAAACGATTAGCACATATTTTGTGGAAGAAAACATGGCCTATCCTAGAAAAAGTTCCATATCTACTTGAAAAGAATGTCTATTGTGCTGTTTTTGGGTGGGCTGTTCTGTGTATGTGTATTATCTCTAAATGGCCTGTACTGTTGTAAGTCTTCTGTTTCTCATGAAGCTTCTATCTGGTTTACCTATCCATTAATGAAAATGAGGTATTGAAGTGTCCAATTATTACTATAGAACTGTGGGTTTATCCTTTCAATCCTGTTAATTTCTTCAGCTTTACCGAGGTATAATAGAGAAAGAAAAATTGTACATATTCAAGGTGTACAGTGTGATGTGTTTATATTTACACGCGCATTCTGAAGTAATTACCAAAATGAAGTCAATTAACATGTTAAAAACCTCACGTAATAGCTCCCTTTCTGTGTGCATGCGTGGCATAACAAAACTCAACTCCAGGCCAGGCACGGCGGCCCACGCCTGTAATCCCAGCACTGTGGGAGGCGGAGGCGGGTGGATCATGAGGTCAGGAGATCCAGACCATCCTGGTCAACATGGTGAAACCCCGTCTCTACTAAAAATACAAAAAATTAGCCGGGCGTGGTGGCACACGCTTGTAATCCCAGCTACTCAGGAGGCTGAGGCAGAAGAATCCCTTGAATTTGGGAGGCGGAGGTTGCAGTGAGCCGAGATCGTGCCACTCTCCTCCAGTCCCGGCGACAGCGAGACTCCGTCTCCAAAATAAGAAAAAGAGAAAATAAAAACCTCAACTCCATCCCCGCTGACTGCAGAGCGCTCCAGCTGCTCCAGGCTCCAGCAGAGGAGGAGCGGGGGGGGGGGGGGGGGGTGGCACCGCCGGGGGTGGTGGGGGGCTCAGGCCTGGCGCGCGCGCATCCCGGAGGGCACCCGGACCTCGCCCCGCCGCCTGGGCCGCCCAAGCTGCAGTCGCCCTGTGTGCGCAGGCAGCAGCCACCTGGCAACTCGCGAGCTCGCGGGCTCCCCCAGCATCGCAGAACCAGCGCCAGGTGTCCCGGGGGCTGCGGCCCAGCCAGGCATTCTGCCAGGTGGGCGGCCGCACCAGGGCGAGAACCGAGAATCCGCCACTCAGCCCCATCCGGGTGACTGCCGAGTGCCCACGCAGCGCCCTGATCTCCGCGCGGTGCAGGCGTGGGGCGGGACGCACGGGCTGAGGGCCCTCCGGCCGGGCGCGCCGCCACCCCGAGGCCGCAGGCCGTGCCCCTCCAGCCCGCCAGGGCACCCAAGCCGCAGCCGCCTCCAGGCAACCTCCGAGCCCGCGCGCACGCCCGACGTCTCAACCGGGGCCAGATGTCCCGGCGGCGGCTGCACGGAGGCGGGAACCGGCCTTCAGCCCCATCCCCGGCAGCCGAGGTGGGCCCCTGCCGGCGGCCCGGAGGAGCGGGCGGGGGTCGGGGCCGGCGAGCCCTCGGCCAGGTGCGCTCACGGAAGTCTCGCGAGCCCAGGAGAACCCGCCAGCTAGCGGCGCCTGCGCACGAGCGGCCTCCGCCCCAGTCGCCGCGCGGGCCTGAGAGAAGCTTCTGGGGTCCCGCGGCGCCGAGCGGCAGGCGCGCGCCCAGCGGCTTCGCCCGGTTCGCTGGGTCTGAGCGATCGGAGGCTGCGGTGGACCCGGCTGGGTGGCGGATTCTGAGCTGCGTCGCGGGTCTGGGGCGGCTTTGGGGCTGGATCGCGGATTTGGGGCTGGGTGGGGGTGGAAAGGCCACGAGGAGCCGCGGCGGCTCAGGAGCGGGCGGCGGGCGGCTGAGAAGTCGCCGCCATGAGGAAGTGCTTCGGCTTCGGGAGGCGCCTGGGCCAGGCGGTCCTGCGCGCCAGCGGCGGGCACGCGGGTCCCGGGTGCCGCATCTAGGACGCGGAACTGCGGAACGTGCACAGGGCGGCCGTCCCGGGCGACGCCGCGGAGGTGGAGCGCTGCCTGAGGCGCAGGAGCCGAGACGTGGACGCGCGCGACGGGAAGGGCAGGTGGCGGGGGCGCAGCCCGGGGTGCGAGGGGGTCCCCAGGCCGGCCGGGCGGGGGCCTTGGAGGACGCCGGGCTCCCTTGGAGCAGCGGAGCCAAACGGAGCCTCAGCTGCTCTCCATCGCTGGCGATTCCCCTCCTGTAAGCACTTGGTGGAGGAAATTCGCGGGATTTAACTCACGAAGTTAAGCATGTACACGTTGAAAACATGGTGTCATATACATTATAGGGAGGTGCCTAACGGGAACTCGTTCTCATGCCCAAAATACCATGAGTTATTTTCAGTAGGCGAAAAGTACTCAGAGGAAAAACCCTGTGTGTTCCTTTTACACCTGAATCCACCTGTGTAGACAGGCTTTTTACCGGGGCTTCTTAGAGGGAAACTTGGAAGTGGGACGTGGGTTCCTTGGATGGGAAGACTCTGTTTTCTCAAAATGTGAGCTCTTCCTATGCTTATCAGTTTTACAAAAACCGAATGGAAGTATCAAAGTGTTACCATTTTTGCATGACACCTGCTATCTTACTATTTAAATTTTTTAATTTTTTTTATAATGGAGTGAAATGACTTGCTCCTCTAGATATAAAAATGTGCTATTAATTCCCACAATTAATTATTTACTAACAGCTGAAAAGACAGATGAGTACATGGAACAGAACAGGAAATCCAGAAACACTGAAATATATATGTAAGATATATACGTAGGGATTGATAATGGTAACATTTCAGATGAGTAGGAAAGGATGAGTTATTAATAAAATGCCTGCCGTGTTAAGAAAACTAATGACATTTTATGTCACAAAAATGAGTTCCTGATGGAATACAGATGGAAACTTTTACATATGCAAAATGAGAAGAGTACCAGAAGAAAATGCAAATGCTTATTTATGAAGGTACATTTTACACTGACAAAGGCCTTCCTAAGAATGAAGGCAGGCATTCTGAAGGCTGATTTAGCAAACTAAAAATTAAAACCCTCTGTGTATCAGAAACAAATTAACAAAAGCTAACTTACTTGAAAAATATTTATTATATGTATATTTTTACTAATACATATAAATATATATTCAGATGAAAACAGTATTTTCATCCCACAGGGAATTTATTTTTTATTATATATAATATATATAACTGATTTTATGTGTGTGTGTATATATATATAACAAATTGTATATATTACTAACACGTTTGATATATATATTAGTTATATATGTGTGTGTATATGTATACACACACATAAAAAGCACATATATATGTGTGTGTATGTGTATACACATACATACACACACACACACACACAGATAAAAACCACATCTTTATTTTACAGGGAATTCTTTCAAATCAAATCCACAAGAAAAGAACTCTAAAAATGAGCAAAGTACTGTTTAAGTTACTTATTTACATAGGAAAAAAATCCTTAGTGTTTCTCGTAAGGGTATTTAAGTTAAAGAGGAATGAGACTGTTTTCTATCCTCAATGTGAGAATAAAGAGCAGTGGTACTTAGAGTGCTTCTTAAAGTTTAAGTTGCTGATGACTTTTCAAGTAGATAATATGGTGGCAATTACCACATTTAAAAAATGTATCCGTCCTTTACCCATAAATTTCATTACATTCAAATACCTTTAGGAAATAGAGATACATGCACTTTGTTTTTCTCAGCTTTTATGTTAACAAGAATCGGTAGAATAGATATGTGACCATTGAAGGTGGCAATAAGTATAGAAGTATGTTGGTGCGTGAAGATATATTTTGTCATAGCCAGTGAGGAAGAAAAATCAGTTTGCTTGCACATACAGACAGATTATGATCTTTTGTTAGTCAACAGTGTGTACAAAATAGGATAAAATTTGTAATTTCTGAGCATTTGTATTTAAAGTTTGTTTTTTTTTTTCTTTTTCCTATCTATAATTTCTGCAGTGGGCATTTATAAAACTTCTAGTAAAAATGTATTATTAATAGAATAATCCTTGGAAGAGAGAAATGTTAATCTTATACAGATAAAAATAATTTCTCACTGGTTTATGATCATGATTATTGTGTGGGTTATCTTGAACGTTTAGCTTCTTCAGAAGTAAAAAGGAAATGTTTTTTAATCTGTGTTGCAGATTTTGTTATGTATAGATTTCATTATGTACATGTTTTTTTATGCATAGATTCATTACATATATGCAAACTGATAGATTAATTATTTGATTTTAATGATGGTCTTATAACAATGACAAATAGCAAATATAGGCCAGGCATGGTGGCTTACGCCTGTAATCACAGCACTTTAGGAGGCCGAGATGGGCAGATCGTGAGGTCAGGAGATTGAGCCTCATCCTGGCTAACAGGGTTAAACCCAGTCTCTACTTAAAAAGAAAAAAAATTAGACAGGCATGATGACACACGTCTGTAGTCCTAGCTACTCGGGAGGCTGAGGTAGGAGAATCACTTGAACCCAGGAGACAGAGGTTGCAGTGAGCCAAGATCTCACCATTGCACTCCAGCATGGGCAACAGAACAAGACTCCATCTCAAAACAAAACAACAGAAAAACACAAATAGCAAATATAATTACTGTCACAAAAATATTGGTTTATAGAAGTTATATTTAAAAATATTGAACTCCCCAGCTGTATCCATTCTTTCAATTCATTTATTCATCAGACATAACCTGAATACCTGCTATGTAGCAGACATATTGTACTATCTCTCAGGACCCTTCCATACTTAAAAACTTCATGTTTACCTGCTCTGCCTGAGCAAGATGAGAGATTTAAAATGGGAATATTAGGACTTAATGTCATTGAAGCTTTTCCTCACAACTTTCAAACAAAAGCATTTCTGAAGGTATAAAAGTAAAAGATAACTTTTAACTGCCCTTTTGAAATCATACCAGTCTTAAATGCTAATATTAATCATTGGAAATCCTGATTTGCATATATTCTATAAATCTGAGTGTTGACTAAAATGAGCCATACCTGTTCATTTCAATAATGAGTTTCCTTTGGCTTCACGTTTCTGAAAAAATCAAAGTAAGAAGTAATTTGTTTTAAAAAATATGTTGTTATTTCAGTGCTTTTTCTCCATGATACTTTTAAGAACTAAAAGGTGTTTAAGTACCAATTAGATGCCTAGAACTGCGCTAGACCTGCTGTGTATACCATATTCTACTTAATGTCAGGCCTCACGGATTGTGTTTTCTATATTTTCTATACTAATGAGATTTTTTTTAAATGCTACCAATTATGGTTATAAAAATAAATACCATTCCAATGTCAGATATACTAAAATGTGACCTAATCTTTTTTATTGCTTGCTTTTTTTTTTTTTTATTGTACTTTAGGTTCTGGGGTACATGGGTAGATCATGCAGGATTGTTGCATAAGTACACACATGGCAATGTGGCTTGCTGCCTCTATCCCACCTGTCACCTACATCTGGCATTTCTCCCCATGTTATCCCTCCCCAACCTCCCTACCCCCCAGCATGGCCGTTGCTCCTTTGGCCCCCACCAACAGACCCCAGTGTGTGATACTTCCTTTCCTATGTCCATGTGTTCTCATTGTTCACCCACCTATGAGTGAGAACAAGTGGTGTTTGGTTTCTGTTCTTGTGTCAGTTTGCTGAGAATGATGGTTTCTAAATTCATCCAAAGGGCATGAACTCATAGTTTCTTATGGCTGCATTATATTCCATGGTGTATATGTGCCACATTTTCCTTGTCCAGTCTATTGTCAGTGGGCATTTGGGTTGGTTCCAGGTCTTTGCTATTGTAAACAGTGCTGCTATGAACATACTGTGCATGTGTCCTTATAATAGAATGATCAATAATCCTTTAGGTATATACCCAGTAATGGGATTGCTGGGTCAAATAGAATTTCTATTTCTAGGTCCTTGAGGAATCGCCACATTATCTTCCACAATGGTTGAACAGTTTACACTCCCACCAACAGTGTAAAAGTGTTCCTATTTCTCCACATCCTCTCCAGCATCTGTTGTCTCCAGATTTTTTAATGATCACCATTCTAACTGGTGTGAGATGGTATCTCAATGTGGTTTTGATTTGCATTTCTCTAATAATCAGTGATGATGAACATTTTTTCATATGTTTGTTGCCTCATATATGTCTTCTTTTGAAAAGTGTCTGTTCATACCCTTCTCCCACTTTCTGATGGTTTTTTTTTCTTGTAAATCTCTTTTAGTTCTTTGTAGATTCTGGATATTAGCCCTTTGTTAGATGGGTAGACTGCAAAATTTTTTCCCCATTCTTTTGGTTGCTGGTTCACTCTAATGATTTTTCTTTTGCTGTACAGAAGCTCTGGAATTTAATTAGGTCCCATTTGTCTATTTTGGCTTTTGTTGCCATTGCTTTTGGTGTTTTAAGTCATGAAGTCCTTGCCTATGCCTATGTCCTGAATGGTTTTGCTAGGTTTTCTTCTAGGGTTTTTATGGTGTTACGTTTTATGTTTAAGTCTTTAATTTATCTGGAGTTAATTTTAGTGTAAGGTGTCAGGAACAGGTCCAGTTTCTGCTTTCTGCACACTGCTATCCAGTTTTCCCAACATCATTTATAAAACAGGGAACGCTTTCCCCATTGCTTGTTTTTGTCAGGTTTGTCAAAGATCAGATGGTTGTAGATATGTGGCATTGCCTCTGAGGCCTCTGTTCTGGTCTGTTGGTCTATATCTCTGTTTTGGTAGCAGTACCATGCTGTTTTGATTACTGTAGCTTTGTAGTATAGTTTGAAATCAGGTAGCATGATGCCTCCGGCTTTGTTCTTTTTGCTTAGGATTGTCTTGGCTATGTGGGCTCTCTTTTGGTTCCATATGAAGTTTAAGGTGTTTTTTTCCAGTTCTGTGAAGAAGGTCATTGGTAGCTTGATGGGGGTAGCATTCAATCTATAAATTACTTTGGGCAGTATGGCCATTTTCATAGTATTGATTCTTCCTAACCATGAGCATGGAATGTTTCTCCATTTGTTTGTGTACTCTTTTATTTCCTTGAGCAGTGGTTTGTAGTTC